CTTACGGTGCCTACTGTTCGCTTGACTCAAATATCTATCTCTATATCTATCTATGCATTTCTATCTTTTTTCGCTGGCTTTATTTGCAGGCCTTATTTACTAAAAAAGGAGGGCGCCTGAAACAAACTAGAGTTGCCAGGAAAATTCATGATCCTTCGAGAAACTCCATCGCCATGCTCCCAGCGTTGCGTGACTTCCGCTGTCGTAACAGTGCCTTTTACTCATTAGTGTTTTCTTAGATAACATTTTAAAAAAGAAATATTTTATTTTATTTGACTGTGCAAGCTAGATATAATGAGACGTTAATTGGTGAGTTTAGTTAGTTAAATAATCTCTTGCTATTGTATAGATAGATTGTAATTTAGGTAGGTAAACTGATGATATAGGTACTAATAGTGTCTTGACTACTACTATGTCAGTGGTATCCCAGACGGTCTGATGAGCCCTGGTATTGAGAGAAAACGCTTCTTCCGAACTGGATGTAACAGATATAGCCGCCCCCCCCCCCAGTGTTACAGCAGTATGTCTGTGGACTTACAACGCTAGAAACCGGGTTTCGATACCCGTGGTGGGCAGAGCACAGATAGCCCTTGCGCAGCTTTGTGCATAATTAAAAACAAACTTGTACAATTTCCCAGCTAGTCGATCAGGTAGTTGAATATGTGGGCTAACTAATACTAATATGAATACTTCACTAGCTTTTCAACCATTTAATGACATTACTATACCAGAGGTTGAACTTGCATAGACAACAAGGATGGCATTCATTGTACTATCAAGAAATGAAGTACTTATACCACGACTTATTAAGAACAAATTTACATCTGGTGACAGGTAGAACTAATACTCCAGCATATCCTGAGGTATTAATGGTTAAAAGTACTCTTGTGGATCTGAAGAATAAAGATGATATCATTAGAGCTATGAAAACAGCAAACTATAAAATTCAAGTCAAGAACATCAGAAGTAGTCACCGTTGAGACATGATATAGAAAGTCTGATATCAAATCCTCACATAAAAACAGCTTACCACCACACTTACAAGAGCTGATCAATTCCATAAATCAGTGTTTCTCAACTTCCAGTCTGTCATAACCACCTTGCCAGTCTGTGGGATTTCACCAACACAAACAAAAACTGACAGAATATTCTTTTTTTATATCTTTGAACGTTTTTTTTATTGTACTTGCATTTTAGTAGTCCACAACAATTTAGGAAGACAATGGGCCGATCGCTGGTATCAAAAAGGTTGACAAACACTGTCATAGACTGTATAAGTTGTTCATAGAATATCAAAATACCTTCTCCAGTGTACTT